GCACCCAGAACTGGACTCAGTACTCCAACTGCGGCCTGACCAGTGCCGCATAGAGGGGGAGGATCACCTCTTTGGACCTGCTCGAGATGCATCTATGGATGCATGACAAGGTGCGGTTGGCCTTCCTGACTGCCTCCCCACTCTGCCGGCCCATGTTCGTCTTGGAGTCAATGATGACTCCAAGATCCTTTTCCGCCTCCGTGCTGACAAGAGGGGAGTTCCCTAACCTGTAGGTATGGTGCCAGTTGTTCCTCCCCAGGTGCATCACCTTGCACTTGTCTGTGTTGAATCCCATCCTATTCTCATCCACCTACCCACCCTATTCTCATTCGCCCACATATATACAGGTTGAATATCATTTTTATTATATTATGTAATATGCCAATTTCAAATAGGTATCTAAAAAGAAAACTATACTGTACATTTAAATGTTAAAAAATGCACTTTTTTTTTTAAGAGGTACACTGATATATCAGTCTATATCAAATTGGCACCTATAAAAGAAAATTGGTATGATCAGCAACTGGTTTTTGGCAGGTGTAGCTGATAATGCCACTGATAAATGCCACATGCGTGCAGCCACAGCATTCAAGCAGCCAGGAATATAGCCTGGCAGCCTGGAGAGCAGCGTCTGGCTGGTAAGTCTATGAGGAGAAAGAGGCATGGAGGGGAACAGATTGAGGCCCATATGGCAAGGGATGGAGTGGGGCCAGGGCAGCACAGGACACAACGGAGAGCCTGGAAGGAAGGCACTGTTTTGGTATAGCTTCTCTCCCAACTATATGGTATGCTCAATAAAAGACAAAGATTTTTTTTAGGGTGATCTCTTTTATTGGACCAACCATGTAGTTTGGATATAATCAGACAAGCTTTTAAATGCAAGACACTTTTCCTTAGATCTCACATCCTCAGGTCTTACATTTAGGAGCTTGTCTGACTTTATCCCAGTTACAGACTTGGCCCAATAAGAGGCTGCCCTAAGAAATCCATGCCTCTCTCATCACTTCTGGGCCATCATAGCTATTCCATCACTCTTTGACTACCAGTAACAGACACTGACAAAAACTTCTTGCTTGTCATCCATTTGACAGACCATCACAGTCACAACGTCCCTCCAACCCTGCTGGAGTCCCCCGCTGAAACCCATGCACCAGGCGAGGCGCACACATGCGACATGGCTTGTTGGCACTGGTGTGCTGCACTGCCTTGGCTGCACCGACATGGCCCCACTGCTGAATGCAAGGCCCCCTTATTCCAGGACGGGCATTTCTGCAGGGAGGGCTGTGGCGCAGGGCCATGTCACTTGGCTCATAGGGCTTCCACCAGCCTAGAAAAAGGGCCACTCTGGGAGCTATTAATGCTTCCACCGCCACCCCATGCCCTGCCTCGTGAGGTGGGTCCAGGGCCGCCATGCGGGGGGGGGGGGGGGTACGATACGTCCCAGCCTGGCGAGATGCTGCACCAGCCCATGCCACCAGCCTCCTCGCGTGGGTGCCTTGCTACAAGCGACAGCGCCTCCCGTGGACGTGGACACACACACACGGCGGGAGTCTGGGGGGAGCGGGAGGGGGGGAAACGTCCGTTAACCGCCCCTTTCCAGCCCGGAAGTGGCTGCCCCGGGCCCGCGCCCACCCCCCGTTGGGAGGGGACGCGCCCCCCGCAACACGCGCGAGCTCGGTACTGACCCGGGGGCTCGATCCCCCTCGGCCTCACGCGCGCCCCATGGTGCCGCCGCCCGCGGCTGCAAAGACAGGCCGGCAGCAGCGCGAGCCTACTGACGCATGTGCGCATGCGCGCCGCCCCCAAGAATGAGGGAAGCAGCTGAGGCCAGGAGGGGAAACTGCGCATGCGTACAAGGAGAAGCCGCCTCAGGCTGGAGTGCGCGCCTTTGCGAGCGGGGGAGGGTGAATACGCATGCGCATTCACAGGGGCGGTTGGAGCGAATACGCATGCGCATTGGCAGCTCGCCGGCGGCGGAGGCTGAACGTTCGCCAGCTCAGGGATGCGCAGGGGAAGTTCCACCCTCCGCCAGCCGGCGCATGCCGGAAATTGTAGTTGTGTAGCTGCAGATGCCCGGGTGGGGGAGCGGGCCAGATTACAGGTCCCGGCGGGCCGCGCGGCAGGCACAGCTGGAGGACGGGACGAGTTTAGTGGCGGGGGAGAGATCCCTGCTGCTGCGGGAGAAGTGGTGGGGAGCAGAAAGCAAAGCAGTAAGATTGGGCAGGGAGCAGGAAACAGATGGGGGCGTATCAGATCAGGTAGGGAGTGGAAAGGAGAGCAGCAGATGGGGCAAGGACCAGAAAGAAAAGCATGTGGGGGCACAGTGAACGCGACAGGAAGCAAGAAGCAGAGCCCCAGATCGGGTAGGGAGCACAGCAGCAAATTAGGCAGGCAGCAGAAAGCGGAGCAGCAGACGGAGTACAGGACAGGAAGGGGGAATAGAGCAGCAGATTGAGCAGGGGTAGGGAGCAGAAACTAGAGCAGCAGATCAGGCAGGGCCTGGGAACCAAAACAGCAGACAGGACAGGAAGCAGAGCTGGAAATAGGGCAGGCAGAGAGCGGAAAGAAAAGTGGCAGATTGGGCAGGGGATCGGAGCTAATTTGTGGTACATCTGTCAAAGCAGGTTGGTCCCCCGGTGCACTAAAGCAGTGCTGAACCCACCAGTACAGCCACAGGTCTGTTCTTTTGAGCAGATATGTTTGAAAAGAAGAGCAGCATGTGCTGATCTTGTTAGAATGGAGTTAAAATTATCATAGTAGAAAGCCATTAAATGTGGCAACTAGGGAAAATTCAACTAGCGTTTAAGGGACACCAAAGCATAACTCTTCCAGCAGCTGCAAGGATTGGAACTGTTCCTTTGCTCCTGGACTAGCCTGACTATAGAGCTCTGTGTCCCTAAGCAATTTAATGGGACTAGAAAGCAGCAATCGATTTTGGCTTCCTCTTTGACAAAGAAGTTGGTCTTGCATCTTTTTTCTTTGCTTGTGCACCGAATGCCAGAGAACAGAGAAAGGGTCTGACTGTTGCGCAAGTACACGTTCTATGTCTGGAAACGCATCTTCCATCTCAGTGCCTGCTTTCTTTCTCTGGCCTTTAAATAATTTCTTGTATTCTGCCTCCATTCGACTGCAGATTTCTGAATATGTTAGACACCTGCAGATCTTGAATCTCTTTCAGGGCTCCTAGTCAACAAGGGAATTTGTTTCCCTGAAAAGTGAACCGATTCATTTCCCCAGCCTCTAGGCATAATCCTGGCGTTTTGGACACATGAATACAATGGCAGCTTGCCACCTGCTTCATTTATTCACTTGTCATTCAGTGCTCCTCAGCCCTTACAAATGGTCTCTTTGTGCAACCTTCTGTGGTAATGTAAAAGGTCCCCCGCAGGAATTTGTGTGCATGTCTATTCAGTAGGAAATATAAAAGAGAGGGTTGTAAATACTCTGATTGCTTTTGAGCACAGATATGTTGTCTTTATAATGTATTATGTAACTATGCAACTCCCATAAATCCCTTTTTATCCCATGGAGGCTATCTTAATGTCAAGTACTCATTGTTTTATTTTACTTAACATCACAAGCAAATGTTTTTACCATACAAAGACTAACACAGCAGGCCATAGGAGGAAAAAAAGATTACTACTTACTGTAGTTCTTTGCTTCTGTGGATCCCTGCTCTAAGGCACATTCACCAGAGCCACTTCACCCCCCAGGAGTAAGGATTCCTATGGGCTATTGTCACTGTGAGCCTATAAAGGTCCATAAGCTGCATGATGCAAAACAATGCTTTCCCTAATCGCTGAGGAGGGCAAATGGGTGAAAAGCACGATGAGCATCTCTAGCTTACAGTCGATTTGTGTGTGTTCACTGGGCGATTTGTTCCTTTACAAAAGTTCTCTCGTCTCAGTCCTCATTACAGATAGTTTCACTCCACATGCCTCATTACATTTACTGCTGGCAAATTCTTGCTGGCTATTTTAAACAAGAGCCAGGCTAAAGTATTTGAAATGGCAGGTCCTCTTCTCTGAAATTCAATCAGTGCAATAAAGAATGGGGAGGAGTTTTGGAAAGCAGGGAAGGAAGAAATAGGGGGAAAAAAGCACTGATATATAAATTAATAGCATTCCCCTTCATGCCACCCCCTGCCAGATTGTAGCCTTCCTGCAGGAAAGACACGTGACAGGTTTTTCTTTTGTTTTGTGGTTAATGAAAGATGCCTAGTATTCATAACTGCCAGAACAGCTCATTTCATGATTGACACAACTCTGTTTGATCAGGTCTGGTAACAGGCTTCCACCACATGTACATTTGGCATAATAATTTATGCCATCTATGGATACTAGGGTTACCATAGGTCTCAGTTTTCCCAGACATGTCCTCTTTTTTTATTCTCTGATCTCTTTCCCAGCAGGTTTTTTAAATCTTCTCAAATGTCTGGGATATTTCTCAGCTCAGCTATGTGAGGTGGGGTGGGTGCCTGCAGAGGCTGGGAGAAGCTGGGGCTGCAGCTGGGAACTGGGTGGCCAGCTGGGGGCAGAGGAGATGTCTGCAGGATCCTAGCACCTACCAAGTTTAGTTTAGCTTTATGCCACAGCAGAGAAAGAACCCCAGTGTCCTAGCACCTGCTTTTTTCTCTCCATCTTATAGCAGCATCTAGTCACTCTGGGGTCTGGAATTGCAACTTGTGGAGGGGGCTGGGTCGTTGGCAGCAGTCAACGGTGGGGGAAGTGTTGCAGGGGCAGGGCAGCCAGGAGATGGAGGGAGCAGGGAGCTGTGGTTGAAAGTGAGGGGTGGGGAGACTGTGGGTCCAGAATGTGGGGCAGGGAGTTGTGGGTCAGGAGTGAGGGGCACCAGCATGGCCCAGGGGGACAGGATAGCATGGGTTGGGAGTGAGGGGCACTGGCAGGGCCAGGGGTCCCTAGGTCAGGAATGACGGGCAGCAGTAGAGCCGGAGGGGCTTTGGCTTGGGAGTGAGGGGCAATGGAATGTGCAGGGCCAGGACACTGACATATCACTGCCCTTAACAGTCACATATGCCCCCCATGCCCATGGCAGGTGTCCTCTTTTTTGGAACTGGAAATATGGTAACCCTAATCAATACTAGAAATCTGCAGGATGCAATTTTCCATAAGCACTAAGGATCTTCTCTAGTCATGCTTTTACTTGGTCATCCAGGAGCAAATTCTTGTATTCCGAGTGGGAAGTGGTGGGGAACACCCAGGGGCATGAACAACTGGTGCCTTCCAAGACCTGGGGGGGCACTATTTGTAAGTGGCAGTGTTGACAGTGAGTGGGGACTGCCTGCAGGTGGTGGCAGTGGTGAGCGGGGATCATCCACAGGTACTGGCGGCAGTGTTGGCAGGGTGGGACTGATGGGGGACTGCCTGCAGAAGCCAGCAGCGGCTGCTTTGGCAGTGACCAATCTCAGGGAGGCATGTACCCTCCCCATCCATGCCTCTCCTGCGCATTGCCTATGTCTAGAGGGACCCAACAGGGTCACTACTGCTATCCCTGGCTGAGCCTGGGTCCCTGCAGAGCCCCACTAGAGTGGGGCAGGAGAGGCTCTGGAGCTCCCCCCACTCACAGGGCAGCTGGAGACAGTTGCCAGAAGCTAGCAAGGGAGGGGATGTGCTGCTCAACACAGAGGGCAGGGTGGGAAATTCCTACCTGTTTTGGCGACTTGAGTCCCCAGCTGCTGCTCCTACAGGGGGGAGCAACTCCTGCAACTCTGTCCCCTCTGGGTCTGTCCCAAATGTACCTTAGAATAGGCCAAAACTTAGATTGTATACGTGCTTCTTTCCCAGATCTGTGTAAAGGTACGTTGTGCTCAAAAAACTTGCCCATCTCTCCCAACCGTACAAACGGCTCAAATAAAAGTTATCACCAGAAAACCCCTTGCTTCTCACACATTTTGTGGCCCATCGTGGCTATAGCAGCACATGAACACTACTACTTGGAACAACTGGTCACTTCCTGGAAAATACACAAATAGATCACAGAATCTTAGAAAATGAGGGTTGGAAGGGACCTCGGGAGGTCATCTAGTCCAACCTCCTGCTCAAACAGGACCACCCGCAGCTAGATCATTCCAGCCAAAGCTTTGTCTAGCCACGTCTTGAAAACCTCCAAGGATGGAAATTCCACCACCTCTCTGGGTAACCTGTTCCAGTGTTTTACTAACCTCCTAGTGAGAAAATTCTTCCTAATATCTAACCTAAACTTTCCTTGCTGCAACTTGAGACTCTTGCTCCTCATTCTGTCATCTGCCACAAATGGGGATAGCTTAGCTCCATCCCTTTTCAAACCTCCCTTCAAGTAGTTGAAGGCTATTATATCCCCTCTCAGTCTTCTCTTCTCCAAAGTAAATAAGCCCCGTTCTCTCAGCCTTTCCTTGGTTTGGGGGCTGGGGCACATGACTTCCATTTTTCTTGCTCTCTGCTGGGCTCTCTCTAATTTGTCCACATCCTTTCTGTAATGGGGGGCAGGACATTTTATAACCTGGTAAAGTTTAATAAAACTTGACAAGAATGAGAGGAAAAGGACTGATTAGTTCTGATATGTGCACTGCAGTGTTGAATGGGTACCCAGAATTGATATACAAACCAGCTGGAGATACTGGTGGGCCAAAAACGGGTTATGCTGGCATAATTTCAAGTGAAGCCAGTGACAAAAACCAATATGCTTCAGCTGATAGCCTGACCTGATGGATTAAAAAACAGTATCACTGGGTTTAGTCTGTTGTATGCCAAGCCTTAGTTTTATATTCACATAGCATGTCAAGAGCTTGACCAG